CTTATTAGTGTGTGTATGTATGTGTGAGTATATATATATACATATATGTATTAATACTCATATACTTAAATACTCACTTGTGTATTTGTGTATGTGTGTGAGAGTATATATATATATATATACGTGTTTACATGTGTGGTATGTGTATGTGCATATTAATGTAAGTGTGTGTACATACATATATGCGTCACCACAGATAGGTTTATACTAACTTGACAATATTTATATATATATATGTGTGTGTGTGTGTGTGTTTGTATGTACGTATAGATATGTGTGTGTATATATATATATATATATATATATATGACAAAATGGAAGTATCTCAGTTTGTGCGCGTGCGGTTTGTATTGATTTTCATGCTCGGTTATAGTGTGTGCTATTGTGTATATGGTGTCTGTGTAGGTGGACGTTTTTAGGTTAAATACCTTCAGAGCAAAAGAATATCATACTGTGTCATCATCGTCGATGTATATGTGCCGGTGCGAACGGCCCTAGCCTTAGTCTGAAAATAACTTTCTTTGTGGTTTGTGTCGTACGGCTGTTTGCAGGTACTTCCAACTACTGGACCCGCATATGTATACACCTGTGTTGGCAGATGTCCATGCATATATATATATATTTGCATATACAAATTTAAAAGACAACTCCGTGAATGTTTATAAATTTGTTTTGTCGCCTAACAGAACTGCACTCGCGACTTCAATTCCTGTGTCTCCACTCACCTTATACCTTATACTGGTAATAGGCAACCCCAAACAGTCTCACATTGTGAATCGGTAGCGTTTATCAGAGAGGCTTTATCGCTTCTCATAGCACAGCGAATCCGTATGATTCCGATTAGTGTTTTTGTCCACACCATTTGGTGTGCCATCAACACCGCCTGTAGGGCCTCTCCACGCCTTTCTAACTCACTACACGACCGTCTCTTATTCCGTCACGTGTGGTTTTAGTGCCCACGACCGTCCTGTCGCGTTCATACGTCACGGATCCGTACGCGTTTGCCATTCCTGCGGAGAAGGTGGCGGCTGATGCGCAGAAGGCGCAAGGGGCAGAAGCACAGGAAGACACAACCGAGAAATCAAGGAAATCGAGGGAACGGGTCACTAAGGTGGGTGTGCTTGCACGCGTCTACGTGTGTCGAGGTGTATACATTGGCTTCGAGTGAAGTCATGCGGGTACAGGAATAAGACTCGTCGATACCTCGACTGTCGGCGTTGTACTGTCAGACGATCTCCACCGAACGATCATTTTCGTAAGATCGAATGTGATTTGTGTGTTGCTGTGTGCACATTAGCATCCTGTGATAGTGTAGGGTACTTTGCCAGCATGATTCTCTCGCCTTTCGCGGCCCATCCGAGCGAACACGCACTCGACTGCAGTAGTCATGAGATCACTGTGTACTGTCTTTACGGCATAATCAACGCTGATGCGCAGACACCCTCACCTCTCTTCCAAATATAATATATATATATATATATATGTTTGTATTTATATTTATATATCCCCCCAATTCTGGTGTCCGCAACAGAAAGCACAAATATGGGCTAAGCGAGCCAAGGCCGATCTGGCGGCCGTGCGACACAGGTTAGGAGGACAGCTGTCCAATAGTCTGGTGCAGCAGGCAGTCACGTTCCCGCAGAAGGACTTGGGTATGGCTTTTTGCGAACGGTTGTGTGTTGTGTGCGACTTCCAGCAACGCTATGCAGTTGTGTGTGGCGAATCTGGTTTCATTGCATGTAGATATATATATATGTGTGTGTGTGGCGAATCTGTGTGTCTGTGTGTTGTACGTACATGAAATGCACATGTCTGTTACCGGGTATATTGAGTTGAAGGTTTGATGTGAATTTGGTACAATGAATATATTGTGTCTTTGTACAGTCGCGCTTGTCCGTTCATGAGACTCTGTGCATAATATGCCCGTACGACCAATCATACTATTTGGAGTGCGTGTGTGCGCGTTAACGGCCACAACTCATTGTAAATTCAAGTACTCCCAGTCTCGTAGTGATGCAAACAGCTTGTTGTGTCCTTTCTAGATTAGAGTCATTATCTGTATGGTGGAAATAGTATTCATCTTCATAGCTTATACATACAAATATACGTGAATAGTTTGAAGAAGACAACTACACCCGACGCTGTATTAGAATCAAAGCCAATACAGCAAGAGAACGCGGACACACACTGTATATATGTGTGTGTGTGTGTAGCACTAAACGAGATATACTTCACAGTGTAGAAACATATGTGTGTGCTAAACTGTACATACCGCTATTCTACCCTCCACCATACGACAGTCGAGCCGGATAACTCGCACCTAGTGCTGCTTGGGTCGTGCGTGTATGGCTTATACGTGATGGAGCACATCACGACAATCTTCCCCAATGCGAGGACAACTATACAGAAGGATATATGTGACTATGCGCTGCATAGCGCTACACTCGCAGCGTGCGGGAATGCCTATGGACTGGCATCTGTTTTACAATACGAGGTATGGAAACCCCTAAACCATAAAACTCTGAACCCTGCAATACTTGGTATAGAGTGGCTGACATAGTCCCGAGTCCGGGTGAATGATGTACTTCCTGTGTATGTGTATGTTTATTGGTAGTGCTAACTCTTGTATACTTTCCGGAGGGGAAATCGTTGCTGTGTTGTGACATGCCAAGTTGAAGCCGCAGTCACACATCCACCTCTTTGCGAGGGATAATTTAGTGTATGTCTTTTTATGAGCTACTATACTACCTGAGATACTGTTGAGCTCAATTTTCTGGTGCAACACTGGGCTGACTTTAGCCTTGTTGAGTTGTCATTCTAATATATAGGAAGTTATTATACTACTATGTATGAGTTATTATTCTATAATGTAGCTCAGAAATCATTAGCAGACAACTTATCAGATATTTGAACCGTAGTATTCACTTCTCTGATTTTAATTTTATATATATCCTTGTACTTGCAGAAGACGGAGGAGACAGACAAAGATATCTTAGCCGCCGATGTCAGGACCTACACGGCAGAAGCCATGAAAGCAATTGCGGGTGCCTTGTATGGTATGTTTATACGCGACAACGAGATGTGTCTACTTTAAAATCAAAATAGTTTTTAACATATGCCCCGTTCCCGATGAAATTATATGTCCAACGAGAATACTCAAACCGTATAATGTGCCTACAGGCCTGTATACATAATGCACATACGCTTCTTTATATTTTACGATGACACACTGATAGACTCAGGAGTTCACAGTAACATTTTGTGCATAATACGATCCTGTACATGACTGTCTCATTCACTATTATAATACGTGACTTGCCCAGTCCAGTCCTGTGACACCGATACTGGTATCAGAGTTCAATACAATATGCTCTCTCCTAACACCATGCATGTCTGTCCTGGATATCGCATTACAGCAAGGGCCGGTCCTGAGACAGCTCGTCAATTCGTGCGGGAAACAGTACTATTCACCTTGTCTAAAGTGGATCTGCGGGACACCCTTCAGGTATGTAGCTATGGGAGATGATTTAGGTAGGAACCAAACCAATCGCAGATTATGCAGCCGATTAGCTTAGTACTACATCACTTTTCGGGGTTATCAAGGATTGTTCAAGGTTGTGCTATCGTATGTGATTTTATGTGTATGTATACATGCTTGCATACTAAAATCGAAGTGCAAGTAGCTATGTGTGGTTGAAGAAGGCACATGCGATCGTAATTATGTGTGCTTATATATATATATATATATCCCTCGTATACAACCGGCTCTATCTATGTATTGGCTTTGGTGCAAGATACCGTATGGTTTCGTTCTCAGTTTTCGCTCTGTTGCCCTATAGCATCCGAATTTGTGAACAGTTGTTATACTACTACGATGACGAGAATGTGTGTTCATATATAGCTACCAAACTTACAAAACAAAGACCCGCATGCCTGCTTGTCAAATCTCAGCCAGCTTTAGACATGCCTCTTAAAATGTAAACGGACTTTAATACTTTACCTACCTCCGCTTGTATGTACTACAGATCGAAAAGCCAATGCAAATGCTGAGCAAGTTGCCATTTAGAAATATAGAATACAGGTATGTCACTCCATGCTCCTGATGGACATGTGTATGCCTGTCGGCACTGCGGGCCTTGTATATGAGTTTCTGTTCAGTCGAGCATTCGTGATAGTGCATCGTGCGGCTATTAATCTGGCATGAGTTTGCTATACTTCGCCTGAGTTTGGGTGTCTTATCATAGACGTTGGTTGGTATCTATGTGCCCATTCTCCTCCGTGTTAGGCCCATACCGCAGAGTAGGCGTATCCGATTGCATACGCATATGTACCGGCGTATGACGACTGAATGGGTTATTCTTTCTGTTGAATCTATTATATGAAGTATGCGCATAAATCATCACTTCCAAGTTCTCGGCATCAAAAGCGAGCAACACAAACGAACACCTGTAAACTGTGTCGATATTGTCCAATACGTATCACTAGGATCCTGAACGAGGCAGGACGAGTAACCTACCAGCCCACCTTTTACGTTGGAGTTTTCTCTGATGGAGAAAATCTTGCAAAAGGTACGTAAAATAGTTTCTGAGTTGCGTGCACGTTCTTGAAGGTATGCCTACGATGCACATATATTATACGTATAAGATGTGTCTTTCAGTTGCATTCTCACGTTATTCTGTGTACTGTTGTACATGCAAGAATGAATATCTAGTAGATAGCTCAGCTAGCGAAGTCGGGCACTACTATCCGACTTCACTAGCCCAATTAGAATTCTCGCGAAAGCTGGCTATGAGTTCGGGACATTCTCATCTCTATTGTCCATTCGCTTATGTGGCCCTATTTTCTACCTCAGCTATGATTTCCTGTTTATAGCTAATCTGCTACAATGTCTAAGTTCTATATAGTCTAGTCTATGATGTTCGGGCATTATCGTTGCTATTTAGACAGTCCATCAATTCAAACTATACAAATTGCTGGTTTTAAACCGCGTCTCTAATCATTTGTATGTACTTCGTCGGTGCTGTAGGCGCCGGGCACTCTCTCACAGAGGCGAAGGCGGAAGCGGCGCGGATGGCCATAGTCAACTACATATTCGAGACTTCTAACAAGAAGGTTACTTTCCCCTCAGGTGAGTATCATTGTGTTCTTTTCACGTAGTAGTAATGTTCTGACGTGATAGTTTTTCTGGCCCTTTTGAATGGTGTTCGGCGACAATAGGTTTCTGAATTTTCATGTGAACAGAATTTGGAGCCAAATTACTGTTTTTAGAAAGACCACGGCTTCGACTTCAACATATTATACGAACATGCTCCATCTCCAGTCACGAGTTTACATTTCCTCCATAGTCCTAGTCGGCCCATCGTCAGAAACCTCCTCGAATACTCTGAAACCAGTTTTCTGAAGTTTTTTAAAAGTTGTAAATTCGTGTGTATTCAGATCCTCTCGAGAACTCTGTCGTTCATTTCTTAAGTGCTTCATAAATTGTAAATTCGTGTATTTCATTCGTTTCTTAAGTGTTTTATAAGTTGTAAATTCGTGTGCATTTAGATCCTCTCGAGAACTCTGACATTCTGTCGGGTGATATCCTTGCGCCTGAAGGCATTTAGTGCCTCGAAAAGCTTACTCGACCCATGTGTGCTGTTGCATTGCAAGAAGTATGCTTTTTTATACATTCCTGTGCGTCTTTCCATGCAGTATCGATCATCTAACTAGCCGTGAGCAATCACTATCGTGCTCTTCCTTTGTAAATTGTCCACACGCCTGATCTACTATACTATTCAGTCGCAATTACTTTGCTACCGGATTCTTAGCTAGGGCTGACATTTATACATTTACTATCATCTCCCAGATAAAAGTTTCGATCCCCTCTCTATGGAGTGTCTAACGGAGGCGGACGTATAGTTGCACTTATAAGAGGTTGGGAAATAGCTGCTGACGTATACTCAGAGCCGACTTGCAAGAATTAGTATGTGAAACCAAATAAAATCGAGAAACATCAAGTGCCTATTGGTGTCACTTTCAATGCGCTATCATTCCTAGTCAGTGAAGTGCAAAAGAGAAACATGCGAAAAATTAACATCATATTGAATCGAACAGCCGTATATGGTCGGTTACAATGAACGTTTAGTTGGTGTGGAATCTCTTTATATTGATACAATGTACGTCGGCCGTTTTACCACTTATAGTTTTAGAACGTGTACAAGGTGTCACTGAGCCATTGAACGGGATAATATCAGGTGCAGAGAACTCTGATATGTATAGTAGGAATATGTACGAAGTATGATATATATAATTAACGTTGCGAACAAACCAAAAATATAGCGGTATGTGTTCTTTAACTCCAGCTGGCAACCTATGATAAAATGCATTTGTGAATAGGGTTAAATGATTGAACCATGTATCTTGACGGCCAAAGTAACAACCAGTGTGTTGAAATTTGCGACGATGCTTAAACCAGGAAGCAACAACTATGGGATCCGTTGTCAGTCTCATGTGTTGTATTACAGAACAATTTAAACTTGCTATACATTATTTAAATCCCCAAGATTTATTGTAAAACTATCAATAGTACTCGCGCAGTAGTATAGCGACAGTATTTACTATGTCATTTTTTATAAAATTCTTACACATGATGTGGGATTTCTCTCAATTTATGATAAGTCGTGATCTCTACATCTTCAAATGTATTTTCTAGTAAGTCCACTTGAAAATGAATAAAGAAAACCCGAAATCCAAAACAAACAAAAAAGGAGAAAGAATTAAATTTAAGAAAAAGTTGATCTCGGCAGGCTCTCGCTTTACAAGATTAAAGATTTTCTCGGCCAGAATCGAACTGACGACCCTCACGGTGTAAACATGATGTGATAACCCCTACACCACGAGAAGATATCTTTACTGTCTAAGTCACAATCGATCATTGACAGCCATGGTAATCGAATATATTTTGTTGAATAAGGCTTGTAAAGGCTTCCATATTGGTCATCTAATTGTCTATGTTGAATTTCGATGTCAAGGACAATAGTGTGAGCAAACCACTGTTCACCTTTGAAATTGAACCCCGCCAATACCCAATCCTATTTGAAACGGTGTTACTGGACTGCTTTAAATTCCAATATGTTGTGATATATTAATCACTTCCTTGCAACAATCTTCATGAGAAGATCCGATACAGTGGGGTATGTTCTCTCTAGTATCATCTATGAGAAAACCCTCCGGCGACTTCCGTTTGGAATCGAATACTTAGACTGCACCTTCCGTCAGTCCCTCCCTGCTATCATAGTTGATATAATTAAGTACTACATTGTCATTCGTGTGGATCTGATAACAGCTGTGCCAATTACAAGAGTGTATGTGAACAAATGTGTATTCATCGTGATTTTGCTCACTATGTTAACTTCACAAGAAAAAACCGTCTCAAACACGACAATCTCACGTTTGAGTATTTTATCGGTGTTATAATATACCCGAGTACAGAAAATAGTTTTCCAATTTACTATCTACTCCAGAACATTGTGCAAATAATCAAATATAGAGATGGTCTGTGGAAGGTTAGTCGCTGATTAAAGCCACAACAAATACGAAACAGGCCACAAGCCGGAACACAAAAAAATAAAATTCTCAAATCAAATAATATATAATTCTAGCTACAACCCTTTCATATCCCGGCTAGCTCAGTCGGTAGAGCGTGAGACTCTTAATCTCAAGGTCGAGGGTTCGAGCCCCTCGCTGGGAATTTTTGCTTTTTTATTCCTTTCTTTCTTTCTTTCACATTTATTTATTTATTTACAAAAATGGCTATTCTGATATTGCGCACTCGGCGCAGAAGGAATATATGCATATTTCGTGAAAATGTATTAATAGTATTCAATTTATACCTTCGACACCTTCGTATTAACGACATTTCAAACACCTAGATTCTCAAAATCAATGGCGAGAGGAGGGAAACCATACATAGTTTCACATTAGTATAAAGAGTTAGTATCAAACTTCAAGCACCTCGTAGCACTATATCCTACTGCCGAACAATAGTATTGCCTCAATGTGTGTGTGTGCGTGTGTGTGTGTGTGTGTGTGCGTGTATGTGTGTGTGTGTGTTTGTCTGTGTATGAATATATGTATATAAGTATATATATATATATATATATATATATATATATATATTATATATATATATATATATATATATATATATATATATATATA